TCTGACTATAAACTATGCAGTGATTTAAGTTTGGGAGAATGTATCCCCTGTGGGATGTGATACATAAGTAGCAGTCAAGTACAACATTCTCATCTGCAGTATGGGGACAATAAGGATTGCAACACGGTACTGTTGAAACTCTGAATAGGCTAAGTGTAGATCTACCCGGGCGGGGGGGGGGGACACACACACACTAAAAATAGGTCAGAAATTAAATCATTATAACCAAAGAAAACCGCTATGTAAAATCTCAGAGGTTTTCTTTTGCTCTCCAGCGCCATCTGGTGTTGCATGTTTATAATGCATCCAAAGCACAGTTTTTTGACTAATGTAGCTGAGTCCTAAATGTGTTATATGAAGTTTTATTTTTTATTATTCATGATGAAGTACAGTGGTACCTCGGGTTAAGTACTTAATTTGTTCTGGAGGTCCGAACTTAACCTGAAACTGTTCTTAACCTGAAGCACCACTTTAGCTAATGGGGCCTCCTGCTGCCGCCGCGCCGCCGGAGCCCAATTTCTGTTCTCATCCTGAAGCAAAGTTCTTAACCCGAGGTACTATTTCTGGGTTAGCAGAGTGTGTAACCTGAAGCATCTGTAACCTGAAGCGTATGTAACCTGAAGCGTATGTAACCTGAAGTGTATGTAACCTGAGGTACCACTGTATTATGAAGTATCATGAATTAGTATTAGTATTAGCAGTATTATCCAAACAATAAGGATTGCAACAAGGTACTACTGAAACTCTCAATGAGCAATATGAAGTATTATTATTAGGACAGGTGGCACTTGATTCCTGCATTGCATGGGGTTGGACTAGTTGACCCTCGGGGTCCCTCCCAAATGTACAGTTCTATGATTCATGGTGACAGAAGATACTTTGCACATGCTTTATATAATCGTGCTTTAAAGATGTTCCTTGAAAAAGAGGGATATGAAATTGGCGAGCGTTCAGTGCTCTGACCAGATTGTCAGGAAGCACTTCTAGACTGAATATGAACATAGTCTGCATTGACTCCTGCAAATTCTCTTTCGAAGGTCTTCTACCCTCCCCACTGGAACAAAGAATCCCAGTCCCTCCTATGAAAAAGAAACCTGGAAAACTGTGCTGTAGGTCTTGAAGGCTTTCCCTTTTGCTAATGAAATATGATTCCCTGTAACGCAGCAGCTTGTTGCCAACACCTGCTCTGTTTACTTTGACCAGGCTGTCAGCAAACGCATCTAGCTTACAGCTCTCCTAAGCCATTTCCAAACTTCGCAGGTTTCCTAAACTTGGTTGCACACCAGGGAAGCTTGTGCTTTAAAAACAAAGCAAAACAAAACTTGGCTAGCGTTTTGGAGACATAGAGAAATCGATGTGCATTCCACTCTTTTTGGCATTTTCCCAAACTACTTCTGGGAACGACTCGCCTTTTAAAATAATTGGATGAAGATGGACCATAGTAGAAACTTGCCCCTTAGGCCAGAGGTGGGGAACCTCAGGCACCAGGCCAAACCTGGTCCGCCAGGGCTGTCTTATCCGGCCCCGGAGGCTCAGAATGTAGGTATTGCACAACAATCCCTTTAACAGAACTGGGAGGACCCTGTATTAATAAAGGAACATATCTGTGGTGTTCGATATTCCTTGTGAACAATTGTGGGGTGATATCAATTTAAATGGAGGCATTGACCAGATCTGATTCTAGTCTTCTAGCCGCCTTCAGTTTGTAAACCAAATTCTCTCTCCCATGTCCCATTAAGATCAGAACTCCACCCGAATTCATTCTCCAATAGCAATTTCTATATTGCTGATTCTTACCCTTTGGAGATGTCTCCTTCCCCAGTCACTGTTTTCTCAAATTGTACCAGTTGCCTTGTGCCATCATCAGCTTTTCTAGGCAGAGAGAAATACTGGCTTGATTGGAAAATATGAATGGGAGAATATGAATGATGCATTAGAGGAATCATTCCCTATATTCGGAAGTGACCTCCTTCTGGTAACTCTTGCAACCAAGCTGGTGCCAAACATATTGCTCTGCTTTCCTTTGGACCACGTCAACAAGAGCAAGACTTGTCTTGTCATCTGGGAAGCCCTGGACCTCCATACACACTGCCCAGGCTTGCAACCCAAGGGAGGCCACTTAGGTTCTGCTCACACAGCAATTTGACTTTACCCCAGAGGCACACTCCATTGCCTCTTGAGAGATACGGATGCCGACAACAACATCATATCCAGATTTGGGGATCCAGGGTGCCTAACTGGAGGTGGTGCAGCAGAAAGGTATCAGGGATGAGCAGAAAAGCTCTTTGCACCATCCCCACAATAAACAGGTGGAAATTGAGAGGTGCGCATGCTGCTCTGATGCTGTCAGAGAAGAGGAAGAGGAAGAGGAGGAGGAAGAAGAAGAGGAAGAAGAAGAGGAGGAAGAAGAAGAAGAAGAAGAAGAAGAAGAAGAAGAAGAAGAAGAAGAAATTTATTATTTATACCACGCCTGTCAGGGGTTCAGGGAGAGAGGCACAGATGAGGGAGGAGACTGAGAGCGAGGGGGAAGAATCCCGGAATGAGGAAGAGGAGGATGACAATGACTTGAGGGTTTCCATGAGTCTTTCAAGTGAATCGGAGGATTCCCAAAAGGGGGCGCCCCTGGTCAGGCCAAGGGGAGCCACAGGGGGGACTCGTCAGGAGCAGGGGAGCAGCAGGGAAATCCCGAGTGGGAGTGGGAGATCGGGGCCGGCTTCCCCGCCGGAACGGAGTGAAGAGGGTGGAGTTCCCAGTGTGACAGACGAAGCAGAGCAGGAAGCAGAGAGGGGAAGGAGATCGGGGCAAGACGTCCTGCCGGAAGGGGCGGAGAGTAGTACAGAGAGTAGTGTAGCTGTCAAGAGGAAGGTCAGAGGTAGCGAACGCGCGCCAAGTTCAAATGTGGAGGCGCGCGGAAATGCGGAGAGCCCGGAGGAGGAGCCTGGTCCCAAAGCACGGAGGAGGGGGGAGCAGGCGTCTGGGGACTCAGCGTCAGGGGAAAGCAGGAGGGAAGGAACCCAGGGGGGCAGAAAGACCCTGCAGAAAAGGAAGGACAGGAAGAGGTGGACCAGCAGAAGCCTCTTAAACTGGTGTGGAGGCGGGACTGATTCAGAGGGGACTTCAGCGGTCTAAGCGTAACAGACGTGGGGCTGCGCGCCTCGGCTGTGGAGCAAACAATGTACTTCAATAAAGACTTTTGTAAATAAAGTGGACTTGGTGTTGGTCTCTTGTGAGCTGGGACCTGAGGCGGCCCTGACAACGCCCATCTGGCTGCGTTTCTCCAGCCACTCTGGGCGGCTTCCAACAGAATATTAAAATACAATAGTCTATTAAACATTAAAAGCTTCCCTAAACAGGGCTGCCTTCAGATGTCTTCTAAATGCTAGGTAGTGGTTTATCTCTTTGACATCTGATGGGAGGGCGTTCCACAGGGCGGGTGCCACTACTGAGAAGGCCCTCTGCCTGGTTCCCTGTAACCTGGCTTCTTGCAGAGAGAGAACCACCAGAAGGCTCTCGGCGCTGGACCTCAGTATCTGGGTAGAACGATGGGGGTGGAGATGCTCCTTCAGGTATACTGGACCTGGAATCTCCCCAGGAGCTGAGAGTAGCAAGCTGCTTGGAGGCTTGACCAAGTCAGTTTGATGCCCGAGGAAAAGGACAAGATAGCACCACATAGACACCTCCTTTCCGCTTACAGAATCCCACCAGGCAGGCAACTGAATCTTACTTCTCAAATGGCAATGGGAAATGGTAGAATAGGAATCACATGGGGAATGATGGAGGGCCCTACCCTCAGCACCTGCTGTTTGGGGCTGCTGCCTCATATGCCAAATAGTAGGGCTGTCCTCAGAGTGACAGCCCCACCCCCGGTCACCTGCTTATTTGAGAGGCTGTCGCTTTTCCCCTTCCAGACTGGGGACGCGTGAGGTGCAGACACGTGGCGCAGACACATCCCTCAAGACAGATTCTTTCCCTTTCCAAAATCCTGTCACTGTGTGAGGGATTGCTACAGAGGCATTGCCACTGAAAGGAATGATGATTGGGGGCAGGAGAACAGGGGCATGTGTCACAAGGTGTGTGTCCCCTCCCCCAGAAGCCAAATCTACACTCCTAATAATATTCTCTTGGAGATTAAGGAGGCTTGCTCCCTAGCCTAAAGGTAAAGGTAAAGGTACCCCTGCCTGTACGGGCCAGTCTTGCCAGACTCTAGGGTTGTGCGCTCATCTCACTCTATAGGCCGGGAGCCGGCGCCGTCCGCAGACACTTCCGGGTCACGTGGCCAGCGTGACAAGCTGCATCTGGCGAGCCAGTGCAGCACACGGAACGCCGTTTACCTTCCCGCTGGTAAGCGGTCCCTATTTATCTACTTGCACCCGGGGGTGCTTTCGAACTGCTAGGTTGGCAGGCGCTAGGACCGAAGGACGAGAGCGCACCCCGCCGTGGGGATTTGAACCGTTGACCATGCGATCGGCAAGTCCTAGGCGCTGAGGCTTTTACCCACAGCGCCACCCGCGTCCCATGCTCCCTAGCCTATTCAATGACAATTCTCCTTTTTCACTCTCTTATTCCCTCCCCTGTTACAAAGCAGAGGTTTTTTTGTGTCCCTGAACCAGATACCGCTCTTGTTGTAAATAAAAGCTATATATCAATCCACAGTTCAGCAGGTCTCCTTTGACATTACCAGGAAGCAGCAGGTTAAAGCCATGGTGGCTTTTTTCTTTCACGGTCTTTAGACGTCCAAGGAACCAGCTGCTGTCCCGAAACTGTGCCCCCTCCACGTTTTTCAATACAGGCACAGAATTTCCCCCACAGAAAGCAAATGTCTTCTCTATCTAGCTATTGGAGGATTTACACACATGCTTCATTGGCTGTGCGATATACTTAACAGGTAGTAATAATAATTAAAAGAGAACAGTTCTCCATCATCTGTTTTCAGTCGGACGAAAGATCTCTCCCGTGGCGCATTTTGGTTTTATTTTTCGCTTTTGCTCTCCTGTTTGCAGATGACACAGGTTGCCCCAGCAGCCAGTCCGTCTCTCCAGTTAAGACTCCTCCTGATGCTGGAAACAGTCCAGTTGGTTTTTGTACAGGCAATGATGGAGGAGACTACACAAGGAAGAAATTTAATTCGGGAACAATGGGGGATGGAACTCAACAGCCGGCTCGATATAAGAAGGAAACAAAGACAAGCTTCATAAAGCCAGGTAAGATCACTTTTGCTTTGTCTCATGATGGTCAGAATGTCTCTAAAATTGCGTGAGATACCCACTGCTTGTAAATCAGATACTTTGCCTACATTTACATAGCTATGTGGATTGCTAGATCTTTGCAATTGTTTAGATGCAATGATGCAAAATACTACGAAGTGTTGTTTTTAAAAAACAAACAGAAAATTACAGACGAACAAAAAGGTGACAGTGTCATCCTATGGGGCCTGGTGCAGTAGTTAGAAGATCAGGAAGCCTTTGAACACTTTGATTGATATACAAAGTTCATTTGAAGCCTTCTAGGAACTGCCTGGGTTTTTTGTCATTTTATTGTCATTGTCTCATCATTCGGGGGTGTTTTGCTGCTAGGATGAAAAGATCTTTTCTTTCTGCTTTGAAATGTATGATACTAGCTGACAAATGGTCACATTGTTTGGTTTTTCTCATCTGTCTATTAGTTAATTGCCTTGGATCTCTTCCAAATTTTGTATTGTGGTGTTGGTTGGGCTTTGGCCGACCTTGTTTCAGCTAAGATCACTAATCTCAGTAGAAAATTTAATGAAAAAAGACAGCTTCAGCCCGTTATTATCACTGTTCTCATTACGATTGTTTAAATTTATATACCACCCTTTGTCATAAGACCACAGGGCAGTTTACGACACCGAACACAAATGTCAAAATGTAACATAATATCTATATAATATAAAAACTGAAGCAGTCAATTATAGTCAGAAATACGTAACAGAATGCAGATTCTAATAAAAGACAGATTCCCATAACAGCAAAGGCATAAAAAATAAGCCGCGAGAAAATCAGCTGCAGGGTATCTGAAATACCCCCTATCCCAAAGTGCAGAAATATACAGAATTTTCTCTCTATCCAAGGTTTAATCCTGGCTCGCACAGAAAATGACAAAGCCTTCCAGGTCTCACCTGTGATCTTTTCTTCCATCTCCCAGTCTCTCACTCTAGGAATTATTCATGGGTGCATACTGTTCTATTTTTGAGTTAACTTTCTGCAAGTGCAGTGGAGATAGACAGAAATGTGTTATTGTGCATGTGTCCCAGTTTGGCTGTATCATGTACAGTAAGTTCCACGTTTCTGAACTGGGGTGGGGGCTGGGAATCCTCCTGGAACCGCTCCTAAGTCTGGATGCCAGACGTTTCTTCGCTATACTGTGTGGCTGTAAACCACCTGTGATGAATAAAGTCAGGGCAGTAGCAAAGCAAGCAAGCACCCTTTTAAGCGTCAAGAATGCTTCTCGTAGAAATTGTCCCCCCCCCTTTTATTTTGAAAAAGTTAAGCTGCTGCTCAGCTAAAAGCATCCAAGCAGCTAACAAAACACATGCTAACAATGATGCAAAAGCAAACATAATGCTAAAACTCAGGGGGGTTTTAATTTTTTTTTAAAAATGGCAATCTATAAATACTAACTAGCAGAAGCAAAAATATGAAGTGGTTCCAGATGCACTTCAAAAAATGAAGACTTCTAGAAAAAGGAGGTCTTTGCCTGCATTCTAAAAGGAACATAGGTGGAGCTAGTGTCCTGGGGGTGGGGTGGTGATGTCACACACCCCAGGGATGACACCCAGGGCGGACCATACCTACCACACCCCCTGCTGCCTCCAGTGAAAAGGAAAGTCCCTTAGTGAGGGAAATAAGCAGCTTTGCTGCTGCTGTAAATAAGGCTTCTTCCATGTCTTCAGCTTGCTATACTTCAGACAACGCTTTTGTCAGGCAGGTAGGTCCATATGAGAGCTGGCAGCTATCCTGTGCGCAAGGCTTTCTCCCCTTTTCCTCTGCCTGCCTGTCCCTCCCCAAATCTGCTCTGAAACGTCCTTGCACTGATCAGTGGCGGAGCAAGCCAATCAAGCGCTTGTAACCTGTGCCCAGGGGCGGGACTAGCCACCCACGGGACGGGGCAAGCCGGGGCAAGATGCTCCATGGGGCCTTGGAGAAGTCTGCCTGCCTCCTCCCACTCAGTCGTCCTACAGCTGAGGGGGAGGCGGCGGACAAACCGTTTGGGGCAGCGCAGAGCCTGCGGGCACCCAAGCCACCACGTCACTCCCGGGAGAGACACATGGTTCGGGCGTGCTGCAGGCCCTGCGGTGAGTGCCACCCGGCATTTTGTCACCTCCCTCAGTGGAGACACCCAGGGCAACCCGCCCCCACCGCACCCCCCCTTCCTCCGCCCCTGGCACTGATGGGACCCTGACTTAGCACTACACCAAATGCCTGGGTCCTATGTTTAATGGCTTTTCTTCTTGGTTTCACACTATTCAGCGCAAAGTCAACCAATGTGTGATTAAGCTAGAATTACTTGAGTTTTACAGCACAATGCTATCCCTGTCTGCAGGAAAGTTAGTCCCGTTCAGCTCAGTTGCATTGCATTTCATCACAGCCTTCTCCCTCTTTGGGGAAACTCTAGGTGTTGCTGAACTACAACTCCCATCAGCCCCAGGAAGCGTGGCTAATGGCTTAGGATGATGGGAGTTGCAGTTCAGCAATATCTGGAGGGCCAAAGGTTCCCCCCACATCTAATTTATTAGGATTTGGACTTTGATGTGTGTGTTTTGAGACATGGTTTGGTACTGCAGCTCCATGGGCCTCTCCAAACAGAATGAAAAGATTATGAGAAAGTTGACCAATCACTTTAAAGCACACTGATTGGCATTTAATGCTTTCCTGTTTAAGTGACACGGACATGACTTTGCAGGAAGAGCTTGTGATCTGTAGGAAGTCGCGCAAGGCATGATACTTCACATTCATCCAAAAGTATAATATTCTGTTCTTGGAGGAAAACATGCTTGGCAAAGTGTTTTATAAAAATGACATTTGTAATGTTTTGCTTGGATCGCTGCTCTTTGTTCTCACTTTGCTGCAAAGATCAGCAAATTGGGGGGAATAATGTGTTTGCTGTTCGGACGCAGATACAGAATGTGCTAAGTTGAATAGTGCCTTTGTCATGGGCATGGTTGAGTGGCTTTTGGGATAACAGTTATGCATTGACCTATTGTCAAAGTGAAAATGCTGCTTAGTCCATTCTTACTGGAGATTAGATTTTGAAGATAGGGTTATGCTGTTTCACCACTGATACTGAGAAAGTTGTGCTTTTTTGAGAGGGTGTGTGTGTGTGTGTGTGTGTGTGTGTGTGTGTGTGTTTTCCACTTCATTTGTTCTTGAGCAGAAAAAAAACGTTGGCCCTGCTTTCATTTCCATGGAAAAGGGGTGGATGATCTTACCAGTTACTTCTGTTGCTACTTATTTTATATCAACTATCTTTGCTCTTCTGCAGAAGGAAAATTTGGGAGAAGGCACATTTATATCTATGTGTGTCTTGTTGTTTGCTGTCATTTGCTCTGGCTCACTTAATTTCATCCTACAAGTCCAGTTCTATTTGTTCATACACGACACTGAACACAGGGACAAGGTATCTCTTCATATGTACAAATGCTTGTGTAAAACAATATACACTTGTTTGTTTGTTTATTTGTACAGCTCAACTGTTCTGTACAGAGGTATGCAGGCTGTACATTCACAGAACTTTAAATGCGAATAGCTGTACAAGTGAACCGCTTGATGGTTTGTCTACAAAGGTGCACAAGATTGTCCACACATTCAAGGTGAAATGTGAACACTCCTTGTTTCAATTCAAGAACACCACTTTTTTCAGTTCTGCCTTTTGGCTGTTGCCTCCAGGATGCTAGTGTGATGCTTAACAGCTTGTCTTCTCTTTCCCCAACAGAAGTTGGGCTCCGAATATACACATGTGGCAATACTTGACAGCATTGGTACTAGGGTGGCCTTGTGGCCTAATTTACAGAGGACCGTCCTCTGCCTGAAGAGTTATCTGGTCCACCTCTGATGCAGAACCAGAAGAATGTGTCTATCAATGCTAAGCACCTTGACAGCACACTGAGCAGGCACATCGCCCATCTGCCTTCAGTCTTTCCCCCAATGGGGAGATGAATTGCATTTCTATTTAAATTACATTCATGGTTTCTATTTTTTTCTGTTATATAATTTTTATTAATTTTCAATTACAAAAATCCAATATGTGCCATATTATATTAATACCAAATGGCAATAACAATTCAAATACAAACCAATTACATAGCCAATTATAAATTTCGTGTAGCTTCCTACGTGCTGTACTTCAAGGTCTGATTCCCTTTAATTTTGCCTCCAGACTATTGCTCAAACCAAATACAATCCATTCTTGATAAAATCCCTTATACCATAGGCACAATTCCTAGAGTTGCATCTATAGACCATACAGCTGCATCTTTCTGGGCATGGGCCATAGCTTTGCATTAATAATGCCCCAGACTCAGTCCTTAGCATCCCCAAGTAGGACTGGGAGAAAACCCTGTCTGACATCCTGGGAGATACTGATCTGGATAGAGCAAAGGTCAGACTCAATATAAGGCAGCGCCTTGTGTACCTACGTAGATATAAATTAGCATGTGCAAATTGCATGCAAATTTCTGTCCCCTTTTACTTTCCTTGCTTTTTTAACTGCTGATACGTAAGTGGCCACCCTGAGGGATATGTCTTGCTAGATGGAATGACATTGGCCCTAAAGGCAACAGAACAACCCCCAAGCGAAGAAGGACTCTAAGATGAGATGGACAGATATTCAGAGCTATATGCGTTTTCTAACATCAATTTGCCTCTTCCCAGTTACTGTATTTTGCAGAATGATGCTGCGTCGACCACCAGTTGCTCCTAACAAACAGCATTGTCTGGGTCCTTATACGCCGTGAACCTTAAGGCAATGGCTTCCTGTTCAGTCCTTTGTTTTCCTTTGCACCTTCTTGAAATGGGTAGTGCCCCTTTTGGTAAGCCAGCCTGCGCATCGCGATAATGTGCTGTGCAGATTCCCCAGAGAGAAGGAGATGCTGCTCATTTGCTGATAGGCTCCCCGTTCGTCTCAAGTCTGTTGCCATGGAGCTGGATAGCTTTGCTTACTTGACCTGCTAACTTGAGGAGTTATT